TGTCCATTGGGCATCTGTATGTCTTTCTTGGAAATATGTCTATTTAGGTACTTGGCCCATTTTTAAAGTCAGATTGTTTGCTTTTTTGTTAGTTGTATAAGTTCTTGATATATTTTGGATATTAATCCCTTATTGGAAATATAATTTGCAAATGTCCCATTTGGTTGGTTGCCTTTTGGTTTTGTTGATGATTTCTTTTGCTATGCAGAAGGTTTTTAGGTTGATGTATTCCCATTTATTGTTTTTGCTTTTGTTTTCCTTGCCTTTTGAGTCAAGATCATAAAAACATCTCTGTGAGCAATGTCCGTTAGCTTAGTTCCTCTTTTCTACTATGTGTATTTATTGTTTTAGGTCTTATATTCAAGTCTTTAATCCATTTTTAGTTAATTTTTGTGTATGGTGTAAGATAATAGTCTAGTTACATTCTTTTGCATATGGCTGTAGTTTTTCTAGTAATTTAATTCTATTTTTAGATACACACAATTTTATACCATCCTTTGAAAACTTATAATCATTTTTATGTCATTTTCCCCCAAAACTACTTAATTGTTTAATGGCTAAATGATAATGTATTACACATGGCATTATGGCATGTATATAAAATTTAATGTACAAAATTTCACATATATATCCTTAATCATTTCTTATTAGACACTTAGGGTGTTTCCACCCCTATCTTACTATTATAAATGATAAAACAGACAAATTCAGATTTTATACATCTTATTACACTCTCTTAATATTTGCAAAAATCTTTTAAAAATCATATTTTCAAATGTATAATTTAGCAAATTGTTCTATTTTAATTTATTAAAATTCTCTTATGGAGTTTAATAATAAATGTGATTAAGTAAAAAAGCAGCCAATTAATAACTATAAATTTCTACATTTGTGAAGTTAGCTCATATTTTGTCATCTTTGACATTCCAATCAGGCATGTTTAAAATAATGCAGCGCAATGACCAGAATATCAATTAAATTCACCTTGAACTTTCTGTCCTGTTTTTGTTAGAATTGTGTGCCTATCCAATCACTGGGATGACCAAATCTGCAAAATAAAGGGCCAATAGGTGGAGAGGAAGAAAGACAGGGAAAAAGATCTCTTCAGTATCAGGATTTCCAAAATAACATTTGGATAATGGGATTGTTTCATTTCCTCATCATTTCTATGGCAACAACTCATAACATTTCCAAGCATACCTGTGCTGTGCTTTGACATACCTTAACTCATTTGTTTGATTTGCAGCCAGTTGTTCATCTCACTGTATTCACTGTTATTTGGCAAGATGACAGCCACCCTGAATCCTTCTTGATTTGACAATGCAATAAGCACATACTGGTGTTCCTGAGATGATCACTTATCCCAAGTCAGGTCAATGAGGGCCAAGAAGTATTCTTTCCATTTTACAACATCTTGTCTTTTTGTCCTGTTAGAAAGCAAACTCTTCCACTTGCCTGGTTTGTGGTGTTAAGATTCCAAAGCTTTGAGGTACCACAAAGTTTGCTTAATGCTGACACTAAGAAAGCAGAAACAAGGCTGGCAGACAGAGAGGGACCCCAAAAGCTGAAGATATCATTTGAGTCCCAAATCTAGCTGTGCCTGAAAATTGGGTACTCTAATCTTTTAATGTATGAGCCAATAAACACTTTCCTCTTTGTGTAAGCCAAGTTGAGTCAGACTTTTACTCACAATTGAAAAGTCCTAACTTCATGGGTCCTCTGATTTCCCACATAGCGCTTGTCTGAGTGCAATTTTAATAATTATTATTTAATGCCAGGCCCTCTTCCTGGACTGCGGTCTCCATGCAAGCAGGATTATTACATCATTTGTTCACAATGGCCCCCACTAAAGCCTAGAGCGGTTCTGACCCATGCTGGCACACCGTGGTACTGAGGGAGTAAACAATCCGAACTATACTTTTCTTAGCTATGTTCCCAAAGAGTTTAAGGAGCTGGTATTATGGAGTTAGTATTATGGAGTTATTTTTATGTGCATGAGAGCTGTCGGTTGTTTCAGAATGAAACCGCGACGTCTTTGTTTGCTGTGAGAACTCGGACAAACTCTCTCTTTGAGCCTCAGTTTGCTTACCAGGAAGAAGTGCTGACCTCAAGGCAGGCACCTGTAGATAGCCTCTTGGCAAGTGGAATTACTATCAGTAACCAGGTAAAACTAACCAGGTAACCAGAGGAGAAGAGGGAACATATATATAGTCAGTTGAAAGCCAAAGTGCTTGAGTGGACAAAAAGCAAAGACCAGGGCTGCATAACACTGACATTTTTATTAGAATTCATCTGTAACAAATGGAACTTGTGTCAGCAAAGAACTGATTTTCATACAGACTTCTTTCGCCACCAATGTAACGAAGTAAGAAAATAAAAAGCACGCCTTTCATTCTGTAAAACATTTACGCGTACTACTGATTAGAGGTAATTGTATTTTTTAACAAGCCATTTTACAAGTTAATTTTTTTAAATTTTTCAGTCTATGCATCCAAAACGAGAGCAAAGAACACAACTGTTATTATCTTTGTAGACACTCCAAGCTTGGATGGCAAAGCCACGTAACGGATGGATAGGATGGATCTGTAGCCTTCTGATCTCTGCTGGAGTATCAGGGCACCCATAAACCCAAAGGAAACCAACACCCAAAAAGGAAGAAGAAGAGGTAAGTAAAAATAAAAAGGAGGGACTAAAACAAAGCGGAACCAAAAATAAACAGGAAAGAAAAAAAATCTGTACATTACTGCAGAATTTTTCCCCTTCCTGTTTCTACATTGTGTTATTTACATACACACAAATGAATTTCTGAAGCAGTTTCTTACAGATGGGTTCAAGTAATAACATTATTGGGTGTAGAATCAATAGGGCAGTGCATAGTACAAAGGTATAGAAAGTGCAAAGTTCCCTAGAGGCCCTTCCCTCCCCTGGCTGTCCTCACCGTTGTCTAACCATGCAAATCATTTTTTAAAAAGAGCTAAAATAAAGTTCTGTACAAATCACTTTTTATATATTTTGATTTTTTACCATTGTAACTAATTACAAAATTATACATAACTACACATACATAGGTAAATAATAGCACCGTACTGGTTATGATGATGAAAATAACTGGAAACTTGAGAGTTTATGGTAATGGTAGATAAAGATGTTTACCTGGGAAAATAAAACTAGGATGGTTTGTACAGAAAAGCACAGAGTAGAATGCACATCAATGACAGTAGGGAGTTAGTTCTCGGAACAGCTCCTCAACAGTGGATATGTGGAATAGTCTCTGCCTTGTTCGTCTATGGTATGCATCCCATTCATTTTCTTCTTGTGATTATTTCCCTCTTTTCCTGTGCCAAATGGGCAGTTTCTGTCCCAGGGAGAGAAACTGCTCATTGGACAGTGGTTCTGGTGTGCAACACACCATCTGATTCTACATGTCCAACACGGCATGTTGGCAAAATGCAATGTCTGTCTAATGACCCCCTTTGTTTCGCTAAATGAAAAGTATAGCACTGAGTAATCTGGCACTTGGATAAATCACCAAAAGATACAAACTAAAAGAAAACAGACCCATATAGTGCACATTCTTCTCTGGTTCTGATGTAGGTTAGAGAGTCTCATTCTGAGGTAGCCTTCTAGATACTTTTTTTTAAAAAGTATTATACATTTTTTTCTTTTTTTTCTTCCTTTTTTATATTTTAATACAAAAGTGCTCATATATGATGCTTGCAAGTGTTTGGTCTCTTGGATTTCATCCTGTTAGTGATGGGAAAATGTAGAAAACAAAAAATCCTTGTATGCCAGACATTCAATGGAGCTAAAATTAAACCAAAATATTATACCCATATCAAAACTCTTTAAGAGTTCCTTGGACGTTTTGAAGATTCTTTAAAATTGTGTAAGATATGGCACACTCATGCCGTCATCCATGGCTTCCTATAGTAATAACAGTGGAAAGTTGGGGGGAGAGAGAGATATATACATTTTTTAAAATTCCCCTTTTAGAAAAATCCTAATGGAATAGCAAATATATTCCAAAGTTGTCAATGCTATGTGTGACTAAAATAAGTTTGGTGCAGTTTCTGAATGTTCCAGAGCAGATTTGGAAGGGATTATAAATAAAACCAGTAGCTTTTCCTGATGTGACAATTATAAAAGGAAGAAGGGCCCTGATTATCCAAGTGCTTTGGGCTGGTACAATCACTAACATCCCCGACTTGGTTGAAAACTAGGAATGCATATTATTCAAAGAGTTTTTGTACATGTGGTAAACAGATAATGCTTTAATAGGAAGAGTAACATATATGAACAACTAATGGAAATACAAACCAAAAGCTAAAAAGAAATGCTATTAAAATAGGCATCAATTATAAGGCACTCTAAATGCAAAACTAAAAGCAAAAGAAAACAAAGTACAGCACTTCCCAGGAATGCTGTATGCCACAAAATGTTTCTGACTGAACAGAGTAACATGAGTTTGGCTTTGCCCCTGTTACATATCTTAAATGCAAATTTCATAGCACATACTATAGACAATATACGATTGAATACACTGTTTTTTAAACAACTTGATAGCTGATATATTACAACATTCTCCCCTCCTAAAGGGATATGCACTGACCTTTCCCACATGCACACCTCTTAGATATTTAATAATTTTTTATTGCACTAGAGTTGTTAGAAATATTGACTTTGTTGGAAGCCTGGCTAACAAAATGGTATTTGTGAACGTGATTAGGTGGATGAGTGGGGGGGATATTGGGTAGGAAATTAGGGGGTGAGGTTTGACAATCACTGATGTGCATTCCTCATTTCCCTTAAAAAATTAAGATTTTGTGATATTAAGAAATATCAATGTAAAATTAATAACAAATTGAAAAAAGTTTACAATATTTTCTATCTTAAAAAATACAAATCATGGAAGAACTGAATGATAGCTATATCTATCATTTTGTGTGAACACACTGTCTATATATACATAGACACCCCTATAATATACGGATATATATGTATATATGTTAGCAGCAACTTTATACTTTGCGCCTCCCTGTTGATTCCAAAAACAAAATGAAGTTCTCTTTGATTATTTGAAAAAAAAAAAATGGGTACTTTCTTACCAACCAAAACCAAACAGAAGTGTAAAAGTAATATCTGATAAGACCAATACTGTAGATTAAGAGTATTGCACAAAAATGTGCAAATTTTCAAATTACTTGATATTTCTACAGCAAGATATTACAGATAACAGTTGTACAGCTTAAAAAAACCTACAATTTGGAAATAAAAATCGAAGAGTTATGTAACCTTTTTAAAATTCACTTTATCGAATGATAGATACATTTTGTTAAAAAAAAAGTTTACACAGTTAAAAATGAAGCACGGGTAAGCAGTATCTTACAATACTAAAAAACTAAATCAAAGACTTTCTTTTTAAACATTCCCCCCTTTATCCCCCTAAAATGTTATAATGAGCAATATGGTGGGAAGAGGTCATGTCGAAGCAGTTTGTTTTACCATGAGAAGCCACACCAGAAAACACCTTGCACTGAACTATAGCACTCGGCAATTTCTCCTCGTACCTAGCGAGCCATCCTGAACAAGATGCTGATTCTCTGTTGTGATTTCTTCTTCCCTTTATTTTGAATCTTTGAGGTATCTGTAAATAAAGTCCTCCAGATACCTCATTAGTCAGGATTCTCTTTATTATTTTCAGATTAGATTATTAAACTGATTTCTTGGTCCGCCTGGAAGGGTTTGTTTTTAGTTTGTTTTGTGTGTAATAGTCCCACTAAGTGGTTGTTACCTAGAAGTTAAGAAGGACTTCTCAAGTGCCCTGTATGGCTCAGAAGAGACTCCATGGGTATTGAAGGGCCTGTTGTAAAAATCCAAAATGGGTCAGGGGTTTCTACGTTGCATAGTGATCAAAGCTGCCCAGGTACTCAAGTGAGGCTCGATAGCAGAACTGATACTGATCCTGCGCAGGAAAGAGAAGGGGCTGTGAGCACATTTTAACACAAAAATGAAAATCAATATCAGAAAACAAAGTCGCATCATGATGAGGATGAAAATCACTGCTTTTGTCAATCAATTCAAGCCAATGGCCAATCGGTTTTAGTGGGCAAAGAATGGTCAGCTCCAGGGTGTGTTCATTAACTTCACTAATCAATTGGACTAAAATAGTCTCCTGATTCTAAGTGCAGCTCAAGTGTGAACCATTCTCCAAGCTGTATCATGTAATCACCACCAACTAAACGTGGGACCTCCTTGTGTGTCACAGCCTTCTGTTACTATTATCTGCTTATTTGTGATAATGTAGCTAATTCTCAGTTTGTGTATTTAAGAGAAGCTGAGGCAGACACACCCTGTCCTGAGGAAAATTTAGATGCATTTATCCTGTGGGCTATTGTCAACAGAATTTACATTAAAAAAACATCTTATCGGACAGTAGACCTTGCTGCCTCCAATCAGAATTCTGTGCACAGTCTTCTGATTTTCTCCTGCAAGTGAGGGAGGCAGCTGAAGGTATCTGGTGGGGAACGTGTAGGCACATAAAGCCATTTAGTCAATGCTCTGGACTTTAAGATTTTTCAGCTCCTGAAAATGGCAACACAAGACTGGCTGCCCACATAAAAAAATCCCTGTGCCATTTGACCTAATTCATTATGACTGCTAGCTGTCTGTTCTAAGAAGGCCACTCTAAAATGACATGGTATGAAATCTGTCCGTTTTCAGACAGGGAAGAACAGTCATACTGGAATATGTTGGGGCTTTGTTGGAGAGATGGAAAAATTATAATTTACACAGGAGAAAGGAGGAGAAAAAGTAGGATTTTCCTCATAAAAGAAACTTATTTTCAGTAGCCAATGGGGCTGAAAGTAGATAGTTTCTATTTTGCTTAAATGTGCATTTTTCTACAATAAAAATGGAAATGCAAAATAAATGGAGTTTGCTTTCTTATCTTGTCACAGTAAGTTGCTTGGCTAAGTGTTAAGGCTTTTTAAACGTCCAATTTCCCTCTGTTACCCCCAACACCCATTAAGTTTGTCAGGCTGACATAATGTTTTGAGTATTGCAAGCCAAATGCTTGCACTGTTTTGAAATCAAAGTCTGAAAGATATTGTGAGTGACGAATTTAGGAACACATATAAATTATAGAATTTGTTGGCCTTTTGTAAAACAGAAACACAGTCTATCACTCATGTTATCCTTAGAAATTAGTCAATGAGCCAGACTGGCTAAATCGCGGACTTAGAGCATTCTGAGAAATATGAGAATTTCCATGTTAATTACTTGGGGTGGGCTGAGTTCTCTAGGGCAACCCCAGGATCCAAATATTTAAAATAACCACTGTGAAGAAATGAAATATGGAGCGGTCGACATGTAACACCTTGGCTACAGGAAGAAAATGAAATAAAATGGGCTGAGAGTCTATTATAAACCGGGTGCTGTGATTTTATATATATTTACATGTAAATATATGTAACTTTTATAGGCCAAATGTGATTAATGACAATTTAATGTGGTTCAATAAAATATGTAATCGCACATAACTCTCAAAACGACTCTAAGGCACTGCTGCTGTCACTCTCATTTAAAGGGCAGATAAATGAGCTTCAACATATTGAACCATTTGATGCTTTTCCTACAATATTTGCCTATAGGTTGCCTCTGGTGTTGAGAGTCCCTGGACTGTAGGAAGTCCTGGCTAATAAAATCTATTATTTGGCTCCTGAAGATTTTTCTCACCTCTGTCTGTACCATGGCTGGCCGTTGTGTTCTTAACATTTTGACAGTCTGGAAGATATCTACAACTCCTTCATATCTCATTCTTTCCAAAACAATGCTTAGTGTTATGAAGACTCCAGTTCTTCCAACGCCCGCACTGTTGCACAAACAAAGACAATGTTACTGGATGAGATGCTCAGTCATGGCTGCATTTACTTGTAAGTGGACGTATGTCCACCAGCTGTTATAATACATCGTGTTTTTCCATAGCAACATTCTGAAAAACGTGCTGGGAGAATCCCAACGTGATTACTCCCGGAATACTGTGTCGTGGTAACATGTGAAAATGAATGTGGAGTAATTAGGATTAAGTCTTCTAAAACAAAATGACTATTCAACTGGGATCATATGCCTTTTTGGAAAGATCAAGAAAACACATTGTAAAATAAGTAAAAGGAAGAGTACATTATAGATTTACACTCTTCATACAGATCCTGAAATTGTAAGCCTTGCCTGCTTTGTATTTTTAAAATATGAAATAACTCAGATAAGGTGAGATAAACAGCATTGTCAAGTTTTATAGTGTATTATTTATTTTATACAATAGTCACTTAAAGTCTGTTCAGGATGTCCCATCACCAGAAATATAAATAAATAAAGTATATAGACGTTTCAAATTTATATATTTTTGATATGAGAAAAGAAATTCTTTAATGGTATTTTTGATATGGGATTATAATTGTCTTTATGAAGTGTCCATGAATGTCTTATATGTATGGATTGTGTAAGGCTTGTATTTTTCTGTCTTTTGAAACAAAACTTTAAAAAGATTCCAAGAGAGGTTTCTAACCTAAAAGAAAAAAAATGGTTAAGAGCCATTTAGCTCTACAGTTATCTATCATTTTTAAATGTCCAGGAGCTAAAACACCAGGATTCTTTTCACTACATTAGCAAGGTTTTGAGTTTCTATTTTCTTTGTTGTTTTAAGATAATTTCAGAATCTTCAGTGCAGCAAGAGAAGAAAATTAATTCATAGCTTTTGTGCTCTTAAGAAGTAGGAAAGCATCTGGAGGTTTAGGTAATGAGGAGAACAGTGAATAATCTGAAAAATCCGTACATTTCTGGATCCTAATTAAATGGCCTGTGTAACGCTTGGGTACAGGCTGCAGAAAATGGATGGGTTCATTTACTTAGGGATGTAGCTGACAGGCATATAAATAGTGTGTCCCTTTAGAAACTGAGTTTTCTAAAGGGTCCTAACAAATGCTAACTATAAAATCCATGGTTAGTCTTTACAAAATGTCTGAGGATGTCCAGAAGCCGTCAAGGCTCTCTGCTAAGATGGAGTAGATGACCTTGAAGGTCCCTTTCAACCTTGAAAGTCTGTCTTAATCCTGAGAGGCTATGATTTATGATCTTTTTGTTGAATGGTCTAGGTACTCTAGAGTCTTACTTATCTTGATTTAATTGCTCAAATGTAATAAAAATAGAGGCTTTTTGGCTTTCTACCAGATGTTTTCAGGAAAATAACAGATATTGGTCTTATGACTTCTGAATTATTGACTTTATCATGTTAGTTTAATAAGTTATAAATAAAAGGAGTAGTATTTTTAGGCTATTCCCAGATAAGAGAAAAATCACTGAAAGTCTTTAAGATATAATAGGGTATATGACTAATATGTCATAGCATTTATACAAATACTAAATGTATTTAAAGCATTTTGCAATGACAAGCAATGGGGAGTCTCTCTCTCTCACACACAACGTTATATATGTATGGGAATGGCTAAAGTTGAAAAAATGTATTTTATATATTCTTTTATTTGTATTGGAAAAGTCTAAACTAGCATTTGGGCAAATTATCTGGAAAATGAAGGCGACTATCCAGGTAATTTAAGCCCAATGTACATGATCCGCTTTGTCTCAGTGCGTGAGTCCCTGTGCCATTTTCTACATGTCCCTTGGTTGTCTAGAGAGAAGGGTTTTGGATAATTCAACCAAAACAAATGTTTTTAAGTATGGTCTCTTTATCATATACTGCACAATGCCTGGGAAACATACTGTGCTAGCAAGGCTCTCAGAAATCAGCTGAGAAAACTGAGGTTCAGAGAAGCTTTCCCAGTGTTGTAGAGCTACATGTTGGCAGAAGAGGAGCTACAACTCAGATATTTTGAACCCCGAGTCTGATATCTCTATGATTTTGAGACCCTGTCTTCCATGTCACTAGGAACTATAATTTAGTTTTTTCTTGAAGCAAAATCAATTTTTAAATAAACCTTCTCAAGATTTTGACTATAAAGAAATTAAAAACTGAAACTTCAAAAGCTGCTAGAATCCTAAAATATACTTGTTTAAATAAAAATAGGCGTGAATTCCCTTTGCTGGAAAATTTTTGCACAGAAACTTCCAAAAGTACTAAATTTATGGTGAATGACCTTTCTGAACCATTTACTTTCCATTTCTATTAACTTGAGTGACTTGAATTATAATATCCTGTGGAAACCATTAAAAATAATTAACTTGAAGGTGCTTCATTTTCTGATATAGCCACAATTTTCAAACAAATTACAATTTTAACTGAGGTACCATTCTAATCATTTATTGACTGGCAAGAATTAGTATTGTCATTAAAACTTTGTAACTATTTATGGCTTTCACAAGAAGACAAACACTGGAGCAAGATATTGAAAGATACTTATCAGTATAAGGGTATGAATGCAAAACAAGTCAGAAATAATTAACTGAACAAGTTATGATGAGGGGTTGTACCAACAATTCCTGTTAAGATGAAATAGGCCACAGAAACAGTTTGGTTCTTGGTTACAAGAGAGAAAATTTGGGATAAAAGTCTTCCTCTAGTTATTTTCCTTTTATGGAATGAAAGAGAAATGAGTCCTTTCTTTATGTTTTACAATATGTTTTTGAGAATAAAATTTCACTTACACAGATTCACTACAAGAACCTTGTACCAACAATAAATAGGCAAAATACATATTTTCATAGTTACCATCACATTAATCACAAATGGAAACTCATCATTTCTGATTCTTAACTCACCTGCAATGGACTGAAATGGGTCCATCTTGGCCAAACTGCTCTTTTGTTTTATGGACTTGGCCGATGAAGTCAATAAATCCTTCTCCAGACTTTGGCACGCCTTGCTCTGGCCAGTCAGTGAACTGGAACTGTCTCACTGTTCGGGACTGACCGTCCTTTAGGTAGAAAGCCATACACGGCCACAAAGGAGGATGCCAAGAGGATTCGGCCAGTGCACAGCCCACAACAGCAAGCATGATCGTTTTTCCAGAAAGAAAAACGAGAAAAAGGGGAAAAAGTTAGGAGCATATTTAACTAGAATCTTACACTCATGTGTCTCATCTGCTATGAACACTGTCTCCATTCACATATATTAACATTGTAAATTTTTTACTCTCACAATGCCCATTCACAAACCTCATATGGTAAAGAGTCATCTAGTTCCTGTATTATTACATATTTGAGACCCAAAGTTTGCCTTCAAAAGCAAGGAAGAATCTAAACACTCTATTTCAAAATTTCGGAATCGAGTAACTTTTTAATATTGGAAAGGGCATCCAGGCATGTCATCTAGAACACAGCATTTGCTATCAACACTTCACATCTGCTATGCTTGCTTATTTCTAGCATTGTCAAATGACAAATAGTGACATTGAAAAGATCTGACACAAATTAGGTAGCTGCTGCTAACCTGGATGGCCCATGTGTCTCAGATGCATTCAATGTCCAGACAATGGCAGGATACACAAACGTGCCACGTGACCGACTATGCTGTTGAGTAGGAAGTGAGGCATCCCTCAAGCAGATCAAAGAGATTATTAGCAAATAAATGCTCTATTCTCAAAAAGAACTCTTCTTGGCTGACTGCAGGAATTAAGGCGTCTATGGGGGTTTTACCTCAGACAAATCTAAACAGAAAGAAAACAAGCCAAATGCAAAAGAAGACTTTCTTTTCTACAGCGATTAGGCAAAATTGCTTTGACTTGAAGTATAAATTGTTTGAAAAGAAGATACTAAGGCATTTCTAATTCCTTCTGGAATTTTATAGCATTTTTGGAAGCACAACAAAAGCAGAAGGGGCCTTTTGCTTCCAGAAGCAGGAATAACAATACACCCTTCACCTTTCTACTCAAAATCAAAAGAGAGAGAGAGAGAGAGAGAGAGAGAGAGAGAAAATCCAAATTATAATGTTAGAGGACAGGTCCCATTTAAATAAGTCCTGTTCCTAATTAAAGCTTCAGCTTGTTTTATTCCTCCTTTTCATTTTAGTGTCACCTATGTTCCCAAGATTCTATGTAAGTATGATGGGGGACCCCCCAAAATCCCACGATTTATAAAAAATTGTGTATTTATTTTACATGTTTAAACTTCAGTCACCTTCAAAGTACTCTCCATTTGAAGCAATACATTTATTGAGACTTTTTTCCAATGCTCCAGTTTTTGAACGTGTCGATTTTGATGCACTTCAAGTGCTCCGCCGTATTTTGTCTCATCTCTTCCACATTGGCAAAATGGGTTTTTTTTTTTGAGGACATTTTTCATCCATGGAAACAAAGATGGCATTCCAGGACAGATTGGGTGAATAGGGAGGGCGGGACATGGGGGGTCATGTGTTTTTTGGTCAACAACTGCTGAACACTCAGCACAGTGAGGGCAGGTGTGCTCATAAATCACCTGTCATGAAATGGGTAAATGTGCTGAAAGATCTTAAAAAACAATTCACAGAAGCCAAATGCAGCCTCTCACAACAACGCCAGCTGGTATGCTGATACAGATGGGTTCCTAGAATGCTCACCTAGCTGAGGAAAAACTGTACTACAAAGGGCCCACCCTCCAGAAGATAATTTTGGGTTTTTTTTGGGTTCCCCTCCTGTATATGGAGACTCGGTCTTTCTCATTCATTCACACTGAGAAGAGGGGGTGCTCAACTAAAGATACGCAGCCATCAACCAGCCTGGTGGCTTCTACTGGAACAGCATATTTCTGACTGGCATCATTTGGGGATGGATATAAAACAGGAAGATCGCATCAACTTTGTGAGAACACTGATGAATATGGAAATAAATGCTTGGCCCCATAACTAACTTGGTTACCATGGAAGCATGAATTACTTCTCTCTGTTTCTGGAAAAGGTTTGAAAGGCACAGGAAGGGAAGCCAGAGGCTAATGCAGATTTGTCCTCTGAATGTCCTGGGGATTTCATTTCTGACCACAGTTGCTTTTACAGCAAGAAGAGGTCTTTAGCATAAACCTTACTCTTTGGAGGGGAGACCACCTGACTCCATTTATCTGGCACCTATTTAACAATATCGTATCCTCAGGTGCCAACCTGCTTTCTAAAGTGGGAAGTTGAGATTAGAAACACTCTAGGAGCACAAACAGCAAATGTTATGGCAGCTACAAAAATTATTCAATCACAGGGAGCCTTTAAAAAAAGAAATACATGAACAAGTTTCTGCTTCACTGTTTCTTTTGCGGATTGTGGTCAGATTTAATTTGAGCAAGTGAGGAGTGGTAAAGAAGGTGTCTCTGGCATTTACAGAGCCTGGCAACCACTCTTTATCATTAGAAATGGTTGCTGAGTTTGCTTAGAGTGCAAGTAACATTTTCACGCACATACCTTGCTTCAAATTCTGAAGGGACATTACTTTTTTTTAAACCATGGGGTGGGTCACCAAGGCATTCTTACTCGGGCAACTCAAAAAAGAGACCTAGGAACTGCATGGCTGCCTCATGTACATTCACTTTCAGGGTAGTTAAGACTTCAGATGTTCTGCCATTAACAGGTCTGTCACCTGGGCCAACCAGCCTGCTAACCAATTTCTCTTTCACTTTAGGTCAACAGCCAGGGCCTTGGCTTTGGGGATTAGCAGACAATTTCTAAATATAAGGATTGCTTGAGAAAGCAGCTTTCTAGAAAGAACAATGGATCAAGTAAATAGTTTTACACTGGAGTTTGACTCAACCCACCCACTGTGACAGCTCCAAAAACAAAGCAGGATGTGGGACTGACTCCCCTCTCTCCTAAAATGTATTTGTAATCACGGTTTGAGAGTGGCCGAAGGCAAGGATATTAACGTTTATGCACAGACAGTTTACATCAGAGATGAACCTTGGACTCAGCAATCTAGACAAGAAATGCAGAATGAAAATTAGCCAACAAGGGTCGGGGGTGCACAGCTCTCACAGACAGACACATTAGCACACCAAGGAATAAACCATGCCAGCAATCAAATTAGAACGTTGGAAAGCTTGTCAGAGTTTTCTAAAAAACTGCCATTTGCTCTGCAGTTTTAAAATCATACCAAATTAACCTCCAAGCCCACATGACCTAAAGGGCTTTGCAAAACAACAACATATTTACAGCCTCAAGTAATGAAGAAGTCAAGAAAGTTCCAAAGAGAATGAACTGAGAAGGTGAATGTAAGCACAGCCAACCAATTGGTAAATGCTTCCCAGCATACACGCGCACCAAATGCAAATCCCAAAGTTGAGCTGCCAGATGTTACATTTGAAAAGAAGCCAAAATGGGTCTGTGAGAACAGTTGCCAGATAGAAGAAAAGTTACTCTTACCTTTAAAAAAAAAATCACTCAGTCCTCTAGGATGAGTGATTTCTTTCCACTTTGGGAATATGGTCACTGGCAAATGGTTCTCCCAGAGGGGCATTTCAGAGGGACTCCTTTTCAGCTAACAGTTAAGAGCATAAGACTGTGCCAACTTACCCTGGCATCTGTGACCTTGAATTCTCTTAGGATATACTGCGGCATGTTGTACTCAGCCATGGGATCGACTACAAAGTACTGGTATCTTGCAGATCGTTCTGCTGGCCAGTATTGGTGGCATTTCTCCTGAAAGGAGAGAAGATTAATATTAAGTATACAAAAATGCAAATAACGTTATGTCTATCATCTAGTTATCTATATTTGTTTCTCTCGTTAATGCAATTTCAGAAGTCAAGCCCATTCCAATTGCATGTGATCCATTTCTTTTTTTTTTTTTTTGAATACATAAGTTTCCTGATGATAGGGAAATTCTGTGGTTCAATTCTTGCCCACAGTATCAAGCATGGTATCTGGAATATATTAGGAGCTAATACACATCCATCAAATTGAATACTTGGATAGAGGAAGCATCTTCATACCTATAAGTTATCCAAATAATTACATCAGTCCATGGACATAAGGCTGGTCAATCATGTATTGCACTACCTAGTAGACTTGCACCACTGTGTTTTAGAATGGAGAGAACCATCAAGTGTGTATGCAGAAAGAAACCTCTGAATTGATCTGGTCCAGTCTCCCGTGTCAGCTGAGGAAACTGGAGTCCAGGAAGTTTTAATGACTTGGCTTAGACTCACAGAGTCAAAGACCAAATCAATACAGTCAAGTTAGTTTCCTAGTTTTGTTTTTTCTTTCTTTTTTTCTCTCTGTGGGCCCTAAAAGCTGGGTTTTAGATACGTCTCTACCATTTAATTTATACGAAGAAAAGAGAGAGACAATATCCCAAGCAAATGTGGCAAAATGCTTGCTTGCATCTATTGAATGTAAGTGGGAAGTCCTTATGTGTCTCGGACACTGTTTTATGTATATTTTCTGAATAATCATTTTTTAAAAGTAAATCTGAGATTACCTCAGAAAACTATGTAACTTCCCAACACTTTATTCAGTGGTGGGTGGATGGTGAGCAAGTAAGAATTTGCCTCAGGGATGAAAGAAAGTTATGCTCCTTCCTACAGAGAAATGATGGCACATTTGCTCAAGGAACTTCAGCTTGTCCAGCGTGAAAGGAAATAAGAATATGCTGAAAGTCAGGACATAAGTTAAACAGATGTATCTGCTTTCTTAGGTGTCTCTATGGCTGTATTTCACTGAAAACAAAATACCAGATCTTTCTTCAAAACACACACACAAAAGAACTTGATGCAGCTTTGTAAGTGAAAAACCGACCCAGAATAATGAATGGCCCAAATGTTTCTGGAATATTCCGAATTTTAAAGAAGTGGTACCGGCACCTGAGTGACTAAAATGAAAATTTCATTTCTCTATGAAGTCTTATGTGGAGACACTCACTCTGCCCATCTCACGCAGCTTGGTGAGCATCACAACGATGGTGGAATTGTGTTCCCAGAGCATCCGCCAGAAGTCTTCAGTGGTCTCTGCCAAGGGCCCCTGAGTAGCGATATAGGCTTTCTGTTGTCTGGATTACAGGGAATGAAAACAGCATGTCAAGGAAATCAGAGAACATGCAAAAGTTCACATTCGCTATGTAAACATCAAACCCAGTAATAGAAACTGAAAATATATTATTAATGCAATTGCCGTGCATTTCTGTTAAGATTATGCAATCAAATAAGAACACTTAATGCACATTGGGGACTTTGCAAAAGAAATTGCTTTGGTAATATTATGATGTATGTCTATCATTATTTAAATTTTAGTGCAATGCTAATACTCAGTTTCATGTGTTATACCAATCATTTAAGAAATAGTTGTGCAGCATCGTTTTGAAGATATGACTCTTACATAATCTATTAAATTTATGAAATATGGTGCAAAAGGGCTTTTTTTAATTAACTCCTTCCATATCCAAATGACTTCTAAAGAGGCAGGAGGCCAGAGTAAAAACTTCATGACTGCTTTCTCTTACTCCTATTCAAAATACTAAAGAACAAATATCAAGGGACTGAATGCTGACCTATGCAGGAAGAAAATGCTTTGAATGGAGATGAAATTCATTCTGGCTATGAAACTAGGGCACATGTAAATATCAAGGCTTTGGGCTGTCAGGGGAACAAAAGAATATACCTGTATCCATCAATAAAACTGGCATTGATGTAATCAGATCCTTCTACTCCTCGGATAGGCTGCAGGCATACCCTTGTGGATTCATATGGCATAATATTAACAAGGCGATTTTTGAATTTATTACACGGAAGATTGGCACTGATGAATCTTGAGGTGTGAGCTTTAGAGCTGGCTAGACGCTGTTGAATAGATAAAAGGAAAAATCCAACAAAGATAATTTTAGCCTACGGTTTGAACGCAACATACCAAGATTTCCTCTTTAGACATAAAACTTTTGTTTACTTTAAAGCAAATGACTCTTCAAACTGCACTGCTTTTCACTTCTACCTAGTAGCCTACTAAATTTTTAAAGATTTTCCAAGAGTATGATCTCTCAGTTTAAATTAGAGCACATAGAGCACAAGGTATTATTAGGGAGCATGGGATAGAAAAGAAAAAGAGGAAGAAACTTTACTATAGTCAGACACCTGAGGCAAAGGCCAAGTCAATCTTGTAACCTGACAAATTTGGAAGGTTAAGAAAATGAAGCCACCACTCGTAGACAATCCCACCATGACTTGCTCCTGAATGACCACATCACATCCAACACATACCTTAAATTCGAGCTCCATTCCTGTGACATTCTCTCCTGTTTCTATTTGTGTCAGCTTCTGAATGTAGGCATACAAGTTTCTAGCTGGCACTTCGGTATTTCCACAAGTCACTGCTTCTAACAGTGCATCGTGGATAAAGATGTATTGGTCTTCTGTTTGAACCATATAATTCCTCTGGGCTCTCATTAAAGTTACATGGCCATAAATATCTACAGTTTTTTCATGCTTTATTCTCTCTAACATGGCATCTATTACAATGAAACAACCCGTCCGGCCAACTCCCGCACTAAAAGAGAAACAAAAAGAAAAGTGTAAATAAATCTATCAGGAAACTAACATATAATAAAGTTATTTTCACTATTCTTAGTTACTAGGTTTTAAACCCATTAATTCTACTCAAATGGCTATTGTGATGATTTGGGGGCACTCTAAGGTCAAAAATATTATCAAGTCACCGTAACCAGTGGGTAAGGAATAATATACCAAGTGAAATTAGTTTGGTTTCAACATGTAAAAATATTCAATCCATAATTACTATACTTTTTTTTTGAGTTTTTTTTTTTTTTTTTAGAGAGGGTAAGGGAGGGAAAAAGAGAGGGAAACATCAGTATGTGGCTGCCTCTCGTGCGCCCCCTACTGGGGACCTGGCCTGTAACCCAGGCATGTGCCCTAGCCTGGGAATCAAACTGGCAACCCTTTAGTTCACAGGCTGGCACTTAATCCACTGAGCCACACTAGCCAGGGCTAATTACTATACTCATTGATCACATAATACACATGACACTATTATGAAACCATTATGAGAAACAAACACACACATTTAGGCTGTTTATATTAGAAATATTTTTTAAATGGTCAAGGTCTATATTGGCTGTATATTTTTGCAAACCACCTTAGTCTACTTAAGTTTAATTTACAAAAACTAAAAACCTAGTAAATCACTTGACGTGAAATATTTCATATTGTAGGAACCAGCACAAGGAACTTCTAAAACCAACCTAGTTAAGAAGTATATAATTAAAATAGTAAAATGTTGCACACTAAAAATAGTATAGGGTATTCTCAGTGGAAAAAAATTCTTAATAAAAAGCAATTGCTAGAGAGTGTGGGCGTGTTCCTACCTTTCACTCCCTTTTTTTTAAGAGTTGAATATATTTTGAAATTCCAGGTAAAATTCAAGTATTCTCTGTGGGAAAATAAAAGCCTTACCCTGTGTCTGAAGAAGGTCTGAGCCAGTTTTTAAACTCCATCACTTCCAGACTTATGGGTTATTTTTCAGTTGGTAGAAATCAATTCAAAGAGAAGGCGGTAAAAGGGTCAACAAAGCACAAAGACAAGATCTACCATTCCAAGGAGACGATCTAATTTACTGCATTGGATCACAGAGTCAGGTAGTTGAAACTTTGGAATTTCCTCCAGTGTTGAAAAAAATACTATCAAAATAACACATCTATTTCTTAAATCTCTAGGTAAGCCTTGTTTGTCTCTTATTTTATCAAATCCTTTAGGAGGAGGCTGTTTATGTGTCAAGTAGGGTTGAACCCCAAATTCTTGGTCATGGATGTTTACCTGGCTGGGAAACATGTAAACAACAGGTATAGGTGTATGTCACCACTTAAGACACCAAGCAACAGACAGCCTCCTTCACGTGGTCCATGTCATTGCCCCTGTCTTTGTGTATCTATGTATTCATTTATTTGTCCACCTGTCCATCTCTTCATTCAGTGAACAGTGAAGTACTTAAGGGTACAACATTACCCTTATTAAATAACTTAAGGATACAATATTAAAGATTACTTAGGTCCTACCTAAGAGATCTCAGAGTCTACCATGAAGAAAATACTTTATATAACTATTTATAATACAAGAAAAAAAGATACGCTATTTTTGGGGATGATGTGGCATTTGCACCAAGACTTGATAAACAGAAGGCTCAGTGAACTGAGGAGGGTGGGACAGCAAAGGAGAAGGAATGACTTTTGCAATCATATCGCTGGCTCTCTGGGAGCCATATGCGAAACTCTATGGACCTAGTGAGCCACCTGTGCAAGGAATGTATAAGACTCCAAATGAATGAGTTTGATGAGCACAAGGGGGTTTGAATTCAACTTAAATGGCAGTTTAGTGTCAAGTAGCTGCATGGTGGTAAGTGAGCATTTTGCAAAAAGTAATACCTTTATTTAACTACTGAGCAGTATAGATCAAATCCAGCTTCCACATAGGAGCCCTGATGTTTGCAGTTGAGGTTACGTGGGAATATGATATAACCACTATTTTAAAAATTGCTTACATCATTTTATGCCCTGTCACGAACAAAAAATAACTCACTAATCAGAGAGCCTCTGGATACTGATTCTCAGACTTCATTCAAGGTTTAAACCACAACATGACATAACATTGAGATGGAATGTAAAAGACTTCTGGGACACAGAGTCTGAGAAATGAGAGGACATTTCTTAGCACAAACAGAAACCTGATGCACTGAGAACCACAAAGTCCCATTTTATTTAATTTGTTCTACCATGTAAACCTGTGAAATGGTAAATTTTTCCTAACACTCCCTGTTCTGATAATCTCTACCCTTCCATCCCCTGCCTCACAGGCAGGGTTCATCATCCTGTGTTCTAGAGCCCTTGGTGTCTTAAATAACACTCTGTACTACAATCCCAGTAACAATGAATTATTCATTAGTCCGGTAGGGCCATCCTCCATACATAATGGAGCATCTCTTGAGAGCAGGAACAGCATTTCTGATCTTTGTGTGCCCTGCACCAAGCATGCAGTCAGCGTTCAGCAATGCAGGAGGTAAGCGAATGAAAGAGTGATTGGCATGGGAGGCTTCCTGTAATGAGCAGCCCATCCAGATTCAGTCAGCCTGCTGAGGAGGACGCAGGGCTGGAGAGCCGGGGAAAGAAATCCTGCATTTGACCAAGGTTCCGAACTATGCAGGAACGCCTGCAGATCGCTCCACAGTCCCTTGGTAAGCAACAGGGAGACAGGAAAACCTTCTGAGTCATCTTCATGTCTTGATCTCTTGATATACCATTGCATCGCCATTAAAAGAAACTGAGTAAGAATTAACCTAGAAAAGGGAGTCAGCCCCCTGTTTGGCAGGTTTTAAGACTATGAATAGTATCTTTTCTTTTCTCTTTTCTTTTCTCCTGCTGTCTTTCCTCATCCTCATTGTGCACTGCTTCTAAACGGACACAGCTTCATGCAATTCTTCCAAGTGGAAACCACAGAGTAAGCCTTATCATTGAGCCTTATATGTCAAATCAATTTAGATAATGGCAAAAATATCTTTCTTAAAATATGCACCCGAGACCATTTCAAATGTCTGGATTATGCATGGTTCTATATTCTGGCAGAAAGATACCACAGGATCTTGCAAAATTGTTAGAAATAACTCCAGATCCAAGTAATAGCAACCGTTTCATGGTGGTAATGATGCCCAAAAAAATTTTTCCCCAAAACTTTTTCCCCCAAAAAATGAGGGTGGAAAAAAATAAATATATGCCTGAATCTAAATCATGAATTGTAGGAGGAAAACAAAGAATAGAGAGATGACGATTTGTGAAAAACCTATTTTTCCCTTCTCCCAAACACAAACTACTATTAGCTGCCCAATCTGGGTGTTCATATGACAATCAGGGAAGGAGTGACCCTTGGGACTTCTGTGCCACCTCTTGGCTAAGACAAAGACTTCTTGGGGGTTTGAAATGGTAGAGGTGGCTCTTAGCTGAAGTAGATACTTCTTCCAGATACACAATGGCTAGGAGTCCTTGAGAAAGACACGTTTTCCGTTTTTCCATTTTTTTCCTTAAATCGTGATAATGATAATTAACATAAAAAAGCAGTTACTTTGTAGATACAGACTCCAACTTCTGATGCTGACAACAAGAAACAGGCACTGTTAACTCAGGAAAAATTATGATAGGTTCATCACTGGATAATTTCAGATTAGGCTTTCAAAATTTTGCTACCCCCTTAAGCTGCTTTCACTTTTCTCCCTTTATTTCCAATAAATGCTGTGTAATGTGGGCAGAATGCTCTGCTTTGCCACATACTGGTTTGGTAAATGAGATCGCTGAGGCGAGCGCCTTCCCTGCAGGGGCCTGGTGCCCGGGAGGCATTCGGCAAATGTGTCGGTTTCCTTTTCCCTTTTATGATTCACATCATTTGGGAACTGCCCTGAGTTCACAGCACTAATGGTAAACGGCCAAACTGGAACTCAAATGCAGGCTCTAGGATGCTAAACTTTAGCACCACGTTTCATGGTATTGATACCACCATTGGTATTGATACCACCATCGCTTTGCATGGCTTTCTCTCACTTGCATCAGCAACAATTACCAAATGTGGTGACTTTCTTGCGGCTCACTCCTCAATAACATTCCTTTAGTAGTGTTTATTCTCAACGCAGGTTTCTTGAAGCCTTTCTTCCTTGATTTCTATGGCACTGATTGAGGGAGTATGGGAAACATCCAAGAAAACCCCTTTGGGGTTGATGATGGGAAGGAAGAAAATTGTATGATTATCTCAAACACAAAGTAACCTGAAACATGCAGCACAGAACACTAGCCAGAAAGAGCTGTGACCTTTGCAACGGTTCCCTGTACCCCACGGCGGGGCGGAAGTTCTATCAAGTTGGAAACCAACTCAAAGATGAACCCTGTCATCTTCAGAAATCTGCCGACACCCGTTTAGACTGTTCCTTGGTAATATTGTTTCCCATTTGATCCCGGTGTTATTTTCCTGGCTCTCTGGATTTTTCCATTTGTCTCTCTTTCCCTAATTTACATACCTCTCCCAGCCCCCAAAATGTAGATAAGTTCCATTCTCCTTTCTCTCATTCCCCTTCATGGTTCAACAAAACAACTGATTCCTACGTGAGAGCCCTTTCTTTGAGCATAAGGGGAGACCTCTATTTCAAACTGCCCTTGAGTTTCTTTAGAAATAAAAAGATTCCAAGATTAATCAGTATCGTCTCTGCTCAAACCTGCTCTTCTCACTCACATTCTTTCTGTGACATTCAGGTCTAAAATTTAAGAAACAGCTTAGCCTGTTTTTCCCTCTTGCCCTGCACAATAAATTATACATTTCTGTGCATTCAACCTCTACAATTTTATTCAACTATTCATCAATGGTGTGCTGCAGCTGGCAAAAGCCAACTGGTAAGTTCTCAGAAATTCTATTAAATAAATACATTAAAAATAAAGGTAAGACTCAAAACACACTGCTGCTTAATTATTTTACATTTATGCTCTTGGGGTGAAAAGCTGTTAC